GCCGGGGCCGGGGCGAGCGGGCGGGGAGTTGAAAGAAGAGGCTGAACCAATGTCGGAGAGGATTGTGTTTTATAAATATTGCAGGCAAAGGAGGGATGGCGGGTTGCGATGCGGGGGGGGCGGATAGGGGGCAACATCGGGATTAAAAACGTACAGAGATTGAACCAGACTTTTACTATTAGGAGAGCTGCTGAGAGCTCTCCGGGGATGTCAAGTTGTGCAGAGCTGCCAAAATCAAAACTGCTTCACTTCTCCTCCTGACAAAAAGGGGGAGGTGGTCTTTCTGCAGTGTTTTTTTTTCTAAAATAATCATTTTAAAAAGCCTTTTTAAACAGACTTGAGGAGATATCAACACTTTATTTCTTGAATTCATAACAAAAAAACAGGAAAAAACACAGAAAAAAGAAAAACAGAAGTGCTTTTTATTTCCCTCCTCCTGCGGGAGACACATCCTGAACAATGGCCTCTGCGTTAATATTCGCAAAATGTTTTTAATTGCTTCTTTGTTTTGTTTTTGATGCCTTACTTTTTTTTTTACTTATTATTATTATTATTATTTTTGTCATTATTTCTTACTCCCTGAGACAATTCTGTGTGGAGTGTGTTACAAGCAGATAAGACTCTAAGACAAGAGAACTGAATCCAGGATGGGAATCTAGAGGACAAGCAGATGTAGAGATTTTAAACCCAATTTGGGCTTTTTTTTTTTGGTATTTTGTTTACTTTTTTGTTGCGTACCAACACAACAACCACACAAACAATGTTATCTTGTTTATTTTTTCCCCAACTTGTGTAGAGATGATTTGTGTGGGACAGCTCTTGTCAAGAGATGAGAAGGCAGAGATAAATGCTACGTTACTGTGATTGTTTTAAGGGRAAAAAAAGTGCATCTTTTACAGCCAATTTATCTGTTAAGCTAGCTGATATTATCGCCACAGAGTGTGCACGTACACATGCTGCTCGAAGCAACAGAGTGTCTGTGCGCATTTGAAAATGATTTCTTGATTTCTTGCTCGTGAGCACGGTCGAGAGGCTGAGATAAAGAGAGGAACAGATGCGSTGCTGGAATTTGCAAATGCAGGACTTGTAAGTGAGAAAGTGAGAGTGTGTGTGTCCGTGCATTAGGTTCTTATTATTTTTTTTTATGTTTTGCATTTTATTGTTTGGTATATAGTATTTTTTTTCAGTGTGGGCGGGTTTTTTTTCCTCATGTTGCTGATTTTAGTTCAACATCAGTCATGTTTCTGCAGCGTCTCTGGCTGTCCGCTTTTGCAACATAGCACTTTTGTTCTTTTCAAAGTTCTATATGTCTAATTTTTTGCTTAATGAATACAAAAATAAATATATTATTTTATGTGTAAGAGAGAAAAAAATAGCTAAAGATTCAACTGAACTAACTGACATGATTCCATTGACTTTGTAAGAGTTCTTCAAATGCAGACAGTGGCCTGTTTGCACTGACTAAACCTACATCAGTGCACACTTGTATTTCTTTGAAAATATATATATAAATATGGGCATACATACATATATGTATAGGGCTTCTATGGAGATATCATTCCCACTTACAGAACAATCGAAGCGCCATTCAGAACGAAACGTCCCGGCAGTTTTGTTGTTGTTTGAAACAAGCCAAGAACACTCGAGGTGTCTTTGTAARAGCTCTATATGTGTATTTATGTATAAAATATTTAATATTTATTTATGTATACCAGATGCATACATGCTGATTGTGCCATGTGCCAAATTAAAACTGTAAAAAAATGGAGACTATAAAGTTTCACTAAACTTTTCTTCTCTTGATCAAAGTTCTTTCCCTTTCATGACGTCTTCTTTCCATTTTCGATGAGCTACAGTATCTTTAAACAAGTATTTACATTTATCGCATAGCAACTTTACCCCTGATCAGTTCGTTGTGTTCCTTGGTCTTCATGATGGCTCACGCCTCAGTAATGCTGAGATTAAATTACACACAGGAGGATGTTACTGTTTTGGTGACTTCTGAAGGCAGTTTTAGCTGCTTGTATCTGAGTAAAGGGAAGTGGATCCACGCCACACTTTTCAGATAAGTTCAGAAAATAAAATCTCAGTAAAATACTCTGAAGTTTGTTGTAACGTCACAAAATGTGGGAAAGCTCAAGGGTTATGAATACTTTATCAAGGCACTGTACACTTCCTGTGAGCACAAGACTCGCCCTCCCCAGRACTTCCTCTCTGCTCCTCCTCCTCCTGCCTCGCTTCTTTTCTGTTGCCGAAACCCTTTTGGGGTGTGGGGAAGAGGCTAACAGCTTGGGGCCTATCTGCGTGCATAACTCCAGATTTTACTGTAATTCATGCAAAGTAGTGCTGCAGCTCTGGGAGATTGTGAAAAGATTGCCTTGATGCACTCGCAGCGCATCCTATTATATGTTAATCTCATGGAGAAAACTGGAGTTGTTGATTCTGTGAGTAAAACTGACTATTTTCATTAGGTATTGTGGTGCAGAACAGATTGTCTGCGAATCGTTGCGATGCGACCTGACCAGCAAACTTAGATCAGCTTTGCAGCTCTTAGACGCTCGGTGCCATGGATGCTCAATGTTTATATGAAGTAGGCCATTAGAGCATCTCCTGGTACTTAACGATTGGGAACGCAGCAGAGCAAGAARCACATTCTGGTCAGCTTATCTGCCAGCTCCGAGAGGGGAAAAGAAGGCAAAGGGGTTTTATTTATTTATTTCTTTTTTTTTTTTATTTTGAGGGAAATCGTTTGGAAGCTGATTTATAAGACTCATCTTGTTTTATTCATTTTCCTTTATAAGGAGATCACTTCCTAATCAACTCTTTTAACAGACCCACATCTAGAAAGGAAGAGTGGAGAAGATGGTTTCCACTGGAAGCTGTTTTTTATGGACTGAAACAATCCTGGGGGGGGAAATGTTTAGAAGAAAGCAGTATAAGTCAAACTTGTTTTACTAACATATATTGGCCTAGAAGTAAGAAATTAGAACATCTACATTATGAAACATTATGAAAATATAAAACTTTAAATGTCCTATCAAAATAAAATGTGAACCACATCATTTGAAAATTTAAAGGGGACATTTCATGCTAAATCCACTTTTTTAACTGTTAAATACATTTTGCTGGTAGYCTTTCAGACTCCTCTATAAACCTGGTGTGGAAAGCTCTGGAAGCTTGAGGGGGGCGGGGTGTGAAGTAAAGAGACAGCATCAAAATGGGTCTGAAACACACCTCAGAAAAGGGGTGAAAGACGGGTTTGTGGAGTTACAAYAAGGAGGAATTCAGAACAAAGCATTGCAGTTCCACTTTATATAGACCCCAACTGAATGACTTAAACATGAAAAAGTTTTAAAAGCATATATCTCCCTTAAAGTGTTAGCTTAAGCTAAATTTCATTTTTTATTAGGGTTCTGTGGAGACATTTGAACAACCACTGTCTTACCTGTACTAGATAACTTGTGGAATGAGCTCAGTTTGGAGAAATGACTAAATTCTGGCTCAACTAATGAGCTAACAGCTAGTCTAAGCAGGGCCAAATCCAAAGTGGATAGCTGCTATCAATGAACAACAATGGTAAATCCTTGCAATTGTTATTTTATAAACCTTTACTCTGCCTTGAATTTGTAACTATGTGGTTACTGCAGTGGGAACATTTTGATATGCTTGGTCTGAAAGTGCTACATCTAGCTGCGTCTACTACTTTTTTTGCACTTAGTAAAAACTATTTCAGTGCAAACAACAACGCAATGTAAAATTCACACAAAGATGCAGGCTTCTAAGATAGCTGTTATATGATCTTTTTTTAAAAAATGGCAGCTTGTTTTAAAATGGCATCAATCTACTCTGGTCCTGATCTGCTTGGGTTCACCATTAATGCATCAGTCCTGTTAGTAACAAACTGTTTGAGTTCATTTAAAGAACAATCTGCAACAGGTAAGATATTGACTGTTTCCATAAAACACTTCTTCAACGCATAAATGAGTTGTTTGCTGTTAGTTCACTGTAACAAAACTAAAATGTGTTATTTGTGCTTGAAGCAGCAAATATATTGTTTATAGAGTAAACCAAAAATGGAAGACATGTTCTCTTTGATTTACAAATTTTACCATTTGAACAATAAACAGTATTGTGGATTACTGTGTGTGGCTGAAGGTGATACCTTTGGAGTATGGTGCAACAATTTTATACTCAGTCATCAAATTTCATTTTTATTAGTCCCTTTCCTGTTGGCACTATTCCATTTTTTTAAAGGACAAGTGGCCGAAAACACAAAGAAAACCTCCACGTACCTGCAGGATGTGTGAATAGGTGTCAGTGTGTTTGAAAAACCTTTTTCTAGTTTAAATGTTGTAAATACTTCTGACACCACTAACGTGCTTCTAATTATAATTCCAGTCACCGCAATATTTCTTTTTTCCTTTTCATTTGATCGGTGCAGACAATCTGCTGAGGAAGGTGGCGAGTTCCGGGTGAAAGCTCCGGAAACGTTGACAGTAAGCGCACGGGGCATTGTGCCGCTTGTCAAAAGTTTTATTGTAATTAGGATGAACGAACCCTCTGAGAAGGAACGTGAAGGTGGATTTATTTGCAGTGGCAGGAGGGTCAGTTTTTACTGACGCTCGCCCTGGTGCTGCTGCATAGAGGTCAAATTAAAGTGGGACGCGTGTCCCTGTGGTGGTAATGGTGCTGGTGCTGGTGGTGGTGGGGGTGAGGGGGTGGGGATTCTTTGGCCTCTGGGATCTAGTTTAAAATACACGTGCCTGGAGAACCACATAATCAAGTGTAAAAAAAAGGGTTGTGGTATCTGCTGTGCAGCAGAAGAAAATGAGGTCCGACTCCTTCTGTAATCAGATGCTTGAAAAGTTTGACGAAACCAGCCCAAATGTCCCGGATGAGGGGGGAAAACTAATAAAAAAGGGGG